GTTTGTAATCTGTAAAATATTGTATTACGTAAGATTTTATTGTGTTCAAAACACATAACTGATATTTTGAAGTAATAAAGAGTTATTCTAAATTTTTAAATTTTATCTTACAATGTAAATTTTTTATAAACTACAATTTTATTTAACAAATTAAAAAGAGGAGTCTACTTATTTTAATAATCTTGCAATTACATAATAAATTTTATCAATTATTTATGATAATGCTTGTGTAATGTCATATTATTTTTTAATTAATTCTAATATGGTTCATTAAAATTTTCACAAGAAGTTTTACTGGTACCAGTCTTAGTTGGCAGGTATGCCTATGTCATTTGGAAATTTTTTGATCGTCTTCAAACTGATTTAAACCAGCAATGTAGCTACCAAACCATTTACATTAATAGCTGTGAGCTTCACATTAAGAAATGCTGCAACTATTAAACAATGTAAAATTGATAAGCCTATTATTAGCTTTTTCTTTGTCAATTGAGCATTGTGCTTTGAAAATATACTATTTCTGCTTCATCATAATTATAAAATCTGGTTGACATGTATTTCAGCATACTAACTATATTACTGGGTAGGTCATTGAAAAATTTAATTTTAGGTCCTTGAAAGATATTAAATTAAATTTTTTTTGTTTATTTGAGAGTGGGAATCCTGTTAATAACAATCTGTCCTTTAGTCTAACTTGTAGTGTGCACAGGTATAGTTTTCCACATTGAGTATGATATCACCAATAGCCCATTCCTACATAAATAAGTTAAAGATCTGCTCTTCAAGAAATTCAACATTTCTAAGAATCCTTCCTCAATATTTTATTTGTTAACTAGTGACCTAAATTTGAAAAGATCCATTTCATTGACACTTAATTAGTTTTCATTTATATTGTGAATTGTTATATTTATTATTTAAATCAATTTTAATTCATACAGCATACTTTTTTAATATTCAACTTTTAAAATATCCTAATTTGCACTCTGAATTTGTTACAGCCGAAGAGCTATATAATGCAATTCTATAAACTGCAATTCTTTGTTAACTTTACAAGATTAACCAAAATCAATAAACGTGATAATTAATATTTTTTACTGTAAATAATAAATGATCTCATGTTTTTAAGTTTTGCCTTATAAAATCTCTTTCCATGATTAGGGTTTTATTAATATAAATGATATATTTGATTTAACAAATGTTTCTTGTTCCTCAGTAACTATATTTATAGATAATAACAATAAAATAGTTATAAAAATAATATTACATAACATATATGTCTCTCTTCTAAGAATCAATTTCAATATTGATAGCTATATTTAATATCTGATTATTGTACTAGTAAGAAAATTTTTTTCTTTTATAGTGTCTTTTTAGTAAGAGAGAGTAGACGTAATCCCGGAAGCTTTGTTTTGTCGTATGTTTACAAAAATAAAGTCCATCATTGCCAAATATTTCAAGTAAGTCATTTAAATTGTTATTTGTACTCATTTGTATAGTAATTACTTTAACTTTAATGCCCATTTTTTATATATTTTATTTTACAATAAGCATGTTAGATTGTAACTTCAAAAATATATTACTTGTATGATAAATTTTACTGTCCACGAATCTTCTAAACATTTTATTATTATTTTTTATCATCAGAATACCATTTAGAAGAACCTTTAAGATCTGTTTTAAAATTTCAGTTTTAGAAGAAAAGTTTTCATAAGAAACTTAAACAGGGTGTGTAGCTTTTGTAAAAAGTGTTTAATTGTGCTTATTTTTGAAGTACGCTTTTTAAAAACCCTTTAAAGGTTCTTTTTTTAATCAGGGTTTGTAAAAATTGCTTAATTTTCTATCTTTTAAGAAGAATTTTTTTTTTCTCTGCAATATTTATCAGAATTATGTAAAGTTTTGTAAAATGCTCATGAATTTTATTGATTTTATGTTTATAAATTAATAACTTTAAACGATAGAAAAAAATTTTTATCACTGCACAGATCCTAATTATGATTTTTTTTTCTTTTTTAGAAAGTAATTTAAAATATTTTTTGAGTGCTTAAAAAGTACTTATTTTTTGTTAAAAAATCTGACTATGCAGACTGTTAAACTGTTATGACAGTGATTCAAGTCTTGAAAATGCAGAAGCATTAAATCTTCTAAATCTGAGTATAAAATCTTATATGTCTTCAAGTAGAAATAACTTTTCATGCTCTTTTGAGTTTCTCTTTGTTGCTTATTCGTATGCACCTGTGCGCAAGTACGGTATGCAAAATTAAAAATTAAATACCCCAACAGTTTATGATCATATGGTTTCTTCCAGTCTTATTTATTAGAGGGACTAACCTTAAATACATTATTTTTCTTTTGTGGTCTATATCAGATTCAAATACATAAATGACATTTGCAATTTTTTTCGCATGCAGTGAGAATGCCCCTTAAAAATTAAGAGTTTTTTACCCATGATATTATTTAAACAATTTTAGAATAAATGAATCTCCTGCAAAAAAAATTTTTTTTGCTTATGCCAACAATTTAGAGATTTTTTATAAATACTTAGGAATAGTAAAAAAGACAATTTTTACGAATATTTAAGAAATGATTAAAAGGCTTTTTAACAACGAAATTGGAGAAAATATAAACTGAATGTACATGAAAATTTTTGAATAATTAATTTGAAATTTCCCAGATAAGAAGATAACTGTGTTCTCATAAATTTGCCCATTCAAGAAAAAATTCCAAAGATTCAGTACTATTCACTATTATTTTGAATTTCATTGATTATATAATATATATATTTCTTGTATACCTACAGGTTGATGAAAAGGACCAGCTTTGTTATTCTCTGGACAGTGGACGTACCAAATTCTACGACCTTATCCAACTGGTCGAATTTTATCAACTCAATGTTGGTTCCCTACCTACCAAACTAACTCATTTTCTGGTCCACCGGCCTCGTTCTAACGGGCAGGCAGAAAATACTTCTTAAAGGGACATAAGTGTGTGTGTGTGTGAATCATGAAGACAACATTCCCAGTGGCCTGTGATCGTTTCTTTGTATTAGTGTGCCTGTAGTCGAGTGCCAAGTCAAACCGGTTGAGAGAAGGACCTGTCCAAAAGGGCAGCATGTTTCAAGACCTTTATTTTTGTAAAAGACGGGGATATTCATTTGGAATAAATTAAACTAAAAAAAAGAAACTTTCTTCTGTGTATAAATTATGAACTATATTTTAAAGAGAAAAAATTGTGCTCAATTTTTTTCTTAATGGCATAAAAGTCATTGCAATTACAGGGTTTACACGAGTTCACATTTAACCATGCTGAGTTGTTTTCTCTTGTCAAAGAAATCTCATCTTTCACTTCCATGCTGTTTAGTTGTATTATTATCCATCTTATTTGGTTTGACATGTGTAAAATATTCCATCCAAAAAATCAATCATCTGCCGAGGACTGAATGTGGTAATGTGAATTCGAGAACTATATATATTTGTCAAAATACTGTATGTTTTTGTATATTTCAGTGACATTATAATAACTTTTTTTTTCAATGAGCTATTTTATATTTTTAAGGAAAAATTTCATTTTAAAACTTGATGAAAAATATTTTCAAAATCAGTAAAAATGGCTTCCTTTTTCAAATTTTTAAAAAATGCGAGCAGTTTTATTTTGTATTTGTTTACCATTTATTGTAACCATTTTTTATAAATTTTCGTAATTCATTTGACTTTCTTGTAAACAAGCTTTTCAACATTGAACACAAAAAGTAACTAATTTATGTTGTATTTTACAGCAGCAAACACTTTTAAGTCAATGCTGCAGATAATAAATTATAGTCTTAAATACATCTTCAATCAAACATGTTAACGCATGCTGTTGAAACTGAGTTTTGGGTATTGTAAACATCGAAATTAATAATAATTTAAACTGTTGATGCACTATTGGACATTTTCATCAGAAAAAAAATTCCAATTTCTAATTCACGTGTTGAAAGCTTTTTAAATCTACTTAGGAAGTCTTATTTAAATATCTCAGTTTTTCGCAATATTTTTCCTCATCCTGCTGATATTATTCAACAATGTTAAATATAATGAGGATATTGCCGCAATGTTAAACCCTGTTTAAAAGAAGAAGAAAAATTATTTGCTGTCCTTACAGTTGACGGTCCTATCATATCTTTGCCCACCTTAATGTTGTAACTCTGGGAGCAATATCAGAAAGTATGTTGCACTTAATATAATTACTCATCTGTCCTTATTTATTGAAATATTTTTTTAAAACTTCCCTGAATTCTTCCAAGGGAAAAAAATCTTGCAATTTTACATTGTCAGCATCTTTTGCTGTGTATTTTAACATATTTATTCCATGACGTCATGTGTGCTGAATTTCTTGTTGCTTATGTATTTATAGAATGTGTCTTTAAATGATGTGAATTTTAAACATATGATCAACTCGTTATATTTTATGGAATTCGAGAGTTGTGTGCTGTAGACTTCTTTGAAATGATACTATTATGAGGATGCAATACTGCAAGAAAAATGCTTGGTGGTGAATTCTTTTCACCTACATAAATAGTTTAAAATATAGAAAAATTAAGTTCAGTTAAAAAAAACAAGTGCTGAATGTTAAAAGGCAAACAAATTATGGCAGGTAGTTATCTTGTAATAATTTATTTGCCTTTTTACTTGGGTTTACCTAAACTCAATTTTCTCTAAACTTAAAAATTTTAACAACCGATAGAGGTGAAACAGAATTTACCTTGAAAAGTTTCTCGTGTGGTGTTGCGTCCTCTTAATTATTTACATTTAATGTTCACAAGTTTTGTTTTTGAATTTTCTTTTAATGTAATGCTCTTAACGTTTTCTAGTGTTTAAAAACAAATATATTTTTGATGTGAATGAGAACATAAATGGTTTTGTTTATAAAGAAATTTAGAAGAATGACATTAGTATTAAAAACTCAATTACTAACTCAACTTGGGTAGTATTTATTAAAAAATGAAAAACTAAGTATTATGAAAGAACTAATTATCTTCATTTGTTTTGCTGGTAGGCTACGATATAATTTGCAGATATTGCAAATGTATTACAGGTAATGATTTTACGAGCTAAATATTCAGATAATGCTTTGTTCATTTCAGAAACCACTCAACTTTTTTTAAAATAAAATATTTTAAATATTGTTTGCTTCTTAGTAAAATTAAAAATATGCATGTATTTCAGTCATCAAAGAAATCTGTTAAATACATGTAAAACAAATAGTTTACATGTATTGTAAATATATTAAAATACAAGTTATTAATTCATTCTTTTTCAAAATTTAATCTTAAAAAAAAGCCCAATGTTAGCCAGATTTAAAAGTGAAATATATTCTTTAGCTGCTTTAATTTTGCTTGAGTATGCTTCAATTTTGAAAGAAAAAAAATATTAAAATGTTTGCATAAATATTGAAATAAAATGTAAGTAAAAAAATAATTGATGTATTTACAAATAATAATTTGCCAACCAAATATGTATTTCCATATTGTTAATTGTTTCCATAGTGTTTAATTATTATCGTTAATTACTTAGGAAAAAAATTTATTTTGACAGCTAAATTCTGATAATTGAGACTGAATTTTGGAGCATAAACTCTTTTAAATGCCTTATTACTTTTATTATTTATAATTACTTTGCAAAGAATATTAGTACATTGCCTGGAATCTGAACATAGCTGATACTAGCTTAAAAATATCATTATAATTTATTCTTCATATTTTGAGAATAGTTCTTTTAAAAAAAATTCTATTTAAAGTATGCATAAAAGCAACTAGTAACTAAGGCAATCCTAAATTTAATATTATGAAACTAATTTTAAAAATTTTATGGACAAATCATTAATTTTAAAAAAATCATTTAGAGGTAAAATTATGATATGCTATTATCAATTAAAAAATTATATTATAAATTCCTAATCCTACATTGAATATTAACTTTTATTTACCTACTTCAAAGTATAATTTTAGACAAATGTTGTAATGATTATATTTAAATAATTATATAAGTATTGGGAAAAAAAGTCAATGCATTTTAACTTACTTTTTTATTGAGGTATATATTTTGAGATTTTATTAAGAAACTATGAAAGTAATAAATTTCGGTAACAAACAAAGATTAAAATTACTGTACCAAATTTTAGAAATAACTGGAGATATTTGTTTTGATCTCACATCTTATTTAACACACCTATAACATATTTATTATGGTAAAATAATGGTTGGTTTTACCTGTTAGTGCTTCTTAGTGAAATATATTTTAAAACTAATGTATTTGTATCGTTGTGTTTAGTTTTCTCATTTGCAAAATTACATGTTGTGCTAACACTTTAACAACCAATTGCCAAATTATACTTTAAAAAACTATTTATCAAAATACTTTCTGTAAGAAATGATTAATGACAATCAATACTTTTTCATTGCATGCGAAAGATATTCTACACTTATTTCTTAACTGTTCTTTAACACTTACTTATGTTAATTAATACACTAGTCATGAGCAGAGCCTGTTTAACTGTTGTGTTTTCTCTGTAAATATTTGCATTAACATTTGTTGTTATTCGAAGTCAGGAAAGTTTTCTCAGTTCTGTTACTTAGCCAGCCCTGCTAGGAGGAAGACAAGCACATTTCAAAAACCAGAATTTGTTTAGATTTTGATCTAAGTAGAGGCAAATATTTACGTTTTAGTTGGAAACACGATTAACAGTTAACTTTGCTATGTCACTAAATTAAAAGATGACTAGTTGTCTATTATGTATCAGAACTATTATATTTAGTGTAAAAATAAATTGTGTTCAAAATCTAACTTTATTACTTTCCCTAATTTAAAATATATGTGCTAAAAATAAGAAATATAAAGTTCGAAAACCATAAAAAGAGTAACAAAATGACTCATAATTTCATGTATAGATATTTACGCATCTCTTAATTAATGTTTCATTCTGAAAATGTGTTTTAAAAGTATTGCATATTCCATCGAACTAGTTCCTTAAAATGAGAGATTTGTTAAATTAATCCAACAGTTGTCATAGTCATAACTGAACAACATTTCATGTTGGTAATTGAAGTAGTTTCATCTTGAAAAATGTATCTATTCTGCATGTTGCAGTCTACTTATTGTTCAATGTCATTTTTTTTTTAAAAAAAAAAAGTTGTGCAGCTATATCTCATTTATCTTGTGTCATTTTATTGTAAAAATGTCCTCCAACTTGTATTTGTTTATCCTAACACGTGATTTTCGGCAGTGACATAAATTTTTTTTCTTCCTAAATTTCTGGTGAGGGTTCAAATTTTTTCCTGGCTGTGTATTCAATTTTATGTTATGATTGATATTAAACTTAAATTGAGTAAGAGATATTAAAATCCTGGGTTTGTTTTGTCTTCGTTTAAGTAAATTAATAAACCTGTTCCTGGGTATTAGGAAAATATTGGAAAAAAAAACTCTAATAACAATGCAGTTTTGTTGTTTACTGTGTCATTAAAAACTGCAAACCTTGCACATTAGCTCAGTAGAAAACTGCATTTTTTTCTTTTTTTGTTTAACCTTATAGTAATTTATTATACTGCATGCTGGAGAAATTGCATATTCCAAGTCTACTTGTTAATTACAAACACAACAAGGAAAAAACTCAGTAGTTGAAAATGCTTATTTTAATTTTTAACAAATAAATCGTTAATTATTTGAAATTATTGACTGCATCTTGTATCTCCTGTAATTCAATTCCCCAATATTGTTCTTGGTAATTTCTACTAGCAATTTTTCAATAATTAATTGTAGATTACATCTACAATTGATGTTATTTTTTTCAAATTAACTTCTATCTTCTATAATTAAGAACTAAATCAATGATTTGTATCAATGATTCTTGTGCTGATTTGAATCATTGTATTATAATCTGTTGATTTGAATCATTGTATTATAATCTGTTGATTTGAATCAATTAATTATATGTAGTTGATTTGAATTGATTAATTATATTCTAATGATTTGAATATACTTTTCCTAAAATGTATTGGTTTGTTTTATCACCGATTCCGAAAATGATTCCAGTCCAATGATTCTGTTGATTTGAATTAATTGATTTTAATGAGTGATTTAAATCTGTTCATTATAATTCATTAATTTAAATAAAAACCATTGACTCATTTGATTTGAATCTAAGATTCCAAACTGCCTATTAAGATAAAATCCATTGATATGTAACTGATTGATTTAATTTGTTTCACTTTGATGATTCACTTTCCCTAGTTCTATCATATCTGTTTGTTTTTTGTTTTTTTTTTGTAAATATATTTATAGGTAAAATGCTAGAACACTTTTTATGTGATTTTTATGAAATGTGTATTAGCTAATTTTTTTAATCTTCATCAATTAATTGCTATTATTATAACATACTCTTAAAACAGTTACTTTTTGTATAAATTATTTTTATTTTTACTAATGTTTGTTAGTAAAGTTTTAATATTAATAGCAGTATTGTGTGATATTATTGTAAAATCAGCAATAATGTAATATTAAACTTTGTACTGCTAATGCTAGAATATTTTTAGATTCCAGTTTTGAAAGTCTACAAAGAATTTAAAATTAGTAACTAATATGTATATATATTAATGGGTTTTTTTTATGTTTATGAAAAGCTTATATATACTTCATATTTGCCATAAAAAAATATTGGTCAATTTTACTTGTTAGAACATGTAAATTTACTCTTATTATTCCTGAATTTTTTTAGAAATTTTATGTTTTTAAATTATCAGAATACAGTGGACTTTTCTATGTGATATAAGTTATGAAAGATAGATAGTAAAAAATTAGATATAGATTATCCTTGTTGATTTTATTTTTAAATTATTTTGTTTTTATAAATAGGTGAATTCTCTATATCTTTAGAACATAAAAAATTACAATACTTTGTTTGTTCAAACAATGATAAGTCCCATGTTCAAACTATTACTAAAACAAAATTTTAGAACTTATATGGTTTGAAAAAAAAAACTGAGTTTGAATGTAGATATTTTTCTGTAATGCTCTATTATCTAATACTAATTGTGGGAAAAAGCAATATTAAGGAACAAGTTGATGTAAAAATACCTACTTGGGGGGGGGATGTGGCTTATCACTATATTGCCCCAATCCCATCATTTATTAAGAAAGGATATGTGCAAGAATGCTACAAATAAATCCACACATAAACATCTATCACCAAAAATGGCTGGTTTTTGGCAAACATAAAGATTGGGTTTAAGAAAGTGATATTGAGAATATTGCAAACAATTATTTAATAACTAAACCCATACTTTAAAAAATAATAATAATCCATTTAAAGAGAGAGATAAACTTCATCTAGTAATTTTGAAGCTGTTGGCTATGATCATTTTTTAATAGTCTATCAAATAGAAATAAACGCTATTGCATTTTGATTTCCTTTTCCAATGACATAGGCACTAATGTTTATAATTTTTCCTTTCATTAAGGTCCAATTTCGGTTGTACTTTTCCCTTCAATGGGTACATTGGTTGTATTTACCACTTGTTATTGTTAATTATTTGTAACCGCTTAGTTTTAATTAAACCAGATTTCGATAAGAATTCTAAAGCTATACTTTGTGAAGACAGATTAATTTTCCTAACATTTTCTTTTAAATTTGCTTTAACTATAAAGTTGCACTTATTATTAATTTGCATTTTCCAATTGAAATATGTTTTTAGTTTTAAAGTGAAGTTTTTGTAACACTTATGTCCCTATTAAACTAACGTCCACTGTATTTCAAAAGTATTATAATAAACTTCTAATTTTGGAGAATTTATTACAGGCAGTATTTTTAAATTTCCTCGTTAGATTTTGTTGATTTACAGAAACTCAAAGCATCAAAAAAGTTTTTATAATTTCTGAAAGCAAAAGAAAAAGAAACACCAAAGTTATTTATCAGGGAAGTCATGTTTGTTTGCGTATTTTTTTCTTTTCCTCATTGTCACATATTCAGTGTGTAATTTATTTCTTTGGTCCGTTACTGTAGCTTTATGTTTAGTGGAGTTCAAGTACACATTTCATGTGTAAAGCATACATTTTGTCCTTTATTATGTTAAATTATTTACTTCTCTTAATGTTATTGTATCAGAGGTACTTTTTTACAATTAATATATTAGCTTCAGTAGTTTTATGTATTTATTTGATCATTGTAAAATATTTGTCACCATATTTATGATTTAAGAGCTATGTAGCACTTTATTCTGATGACTGGTATTAGTTGCCAGTTGTATCACCTATGCAATAAATGATGTTTCTCAGCAACAAGTCTTATTATTCCAGCACCGCTTTGAATAGAAACTGTTCAAATTTTTAGCAAAAAAAATTTAAGAGCTTTAGTGGTGAATTTTGTTGTTTGGCTATTTTTTCTAACATAAGAAGGTTTTAAATTTTTTTTAAAACAAGTTTTTTTAAAATAAAGTAATAAGTATGTAGGTATAAAATTTTTTTGGCTGTAAAAAGCTAATTATCTACATTAAGTAGGTACTTATTTTATTTCATAACCGTAGTTGAACAGCCGACCCAAATTTCGGGTTTACGACTGCTAATGCTTAACTCCGTAGCCTTGTAATTTTGAACCCAATCCAGAAGACAATGGGTACTCCTGGTTCAAGTATTGGGAGAAACTTGCCTTCGTGTAGGACTTTTCGATGGAACTAACCCGCATTTGCGTTACATGGAGAGAAAGACCACGAGAAACTCCTATGGTTAGACTGACTTCCACGGTTAGGAGACTCTGACTCGTGATCCGTCAGCACTGTGGTCTGTGCAAGCCGGATGCGGAATTCACCTAATTGACTCACCTCAACCCGGTTCTCCTCATTGGAAGACAAACGCTCTAACCCCTGAGCCATAGCGGCTCATTAGGTACTTATTGTGTATACAGGGTGTTCACTAAACTGTTACCCATTTTGAACGGAAATAAACACGGTTTGAAATAGAATGCACCGCTTCCTGGCGTAGGAATACTATGGAACAAAGAATATTTCTAGTGTTACAATTTCATTGACTGGCTCATAGTATTGTGAAAGCATTTTGATAATCACATGTGTTTGCATTACTTTACGCTGGTCAAAGTCTGCAAATGAAATAAAATTATTCCACCCCTATTTCTTGTAAATAGTTTGTCTAATTGTTGTCCCTTCCAGTCTTTAGTGTCAAATTTGTAGGACCATCCTCGTTTGCAAAGGAAAGCATCTACTAAATGCGCGAGATTGGTACCACAGATCACATTTTAACCTATTATATGTCAGATTAGGCCAACTGCTTTAAACTTAAAACAAAAAAATGTCTAATTAAAATTTTCTTTTATTGCCCTTTTAGTTATTATTTTGTATTCAACAGTTTTCTACGGTTATCCAAATTCTTATAATAATATAAATGACTTGGAGGCTCTGGTCCTCGCTTGTGTCGCATATAGTTTGTCTAAAATAAGAACTACCCCAAACATTCGTCTGGACCCGTGGCGGTGACCATGGTAACGAGGTATGACTATTTCAAGTAGGGATGCGGGGTCACTGTTTTGGAGTTATTTCGGGTCAGAGAGAGAAAGGGAATCTCTTTCTTCGATCTATTGTGTTAGTCCTAGAATGAATTGTTTCCATAGCGCCAGACGACCTCAGACTTCGGGGCGGGGAGAGTTCTTAGCTTAGACAAACCCACGCGATTACTTCTCATTCCTCAATGTTTTTTCTTCTTTTATTGCGCAATTCCTTTCCACAAAAGTAATGAAAATTTTATTTACAAAATACACAATTGTTATAGTTTTATGTAGGAACATTTTGTCAATATGTTTATCGTAACTAAATGAACGATTACCTGGATTCTGCTACGTATGTATGTGCTTCCACTTTAATTTCTTTTTAATATTTTTCTTATTTGATAGTTAGATTGCTATTTCCATTATTTATTTAGTTTGTCATTTCGTGTTAATGATTTTAGTTTCCTTCTACTGTGCTGATTCTTTTATGAGGTAATAACTTATTTTCGGATCATCCTCAGGGATGTTTCCCAGACCGTCGCCAATAGCCCATTGTGCAGCTCTAGTGCGACGTAAATGAACTACAAGAACTTAAAATATTCTTAATTATTCTTCCAGTGGCTTTGTCGCAACTTGGAATTATATATATACGTATATAATAAAAAATAACAGAATAATGTAATTAAGATTTATGAAAAGCGAAGAAGAAACATTATAAAAATAAAAAATTTGTGAGAATTTTATTTTAAAAAAATTAAAAAGTTGGAAAACAAAATAATGAAACTATATAATCTCGTGATCAGCTCATATGATTATATCCACAAAAAGTAAAGGATTTCTAATATTGTATTAATAATATAATTAAAGTGCTTTTTTTTGTTGCAGATATCAGGTAAGGGACATTTTTAGAGGTATTTATTAACCGGAGTAAATGATATTAAGTGGTCACATCAATGTTTAATGCAACAGAATTGTTTCCGTTTTCACTTTAATTTCAACATAACTAATTCACATTAGTTATGAGTGTACTTGCATGATATTTACTTAAATTAGACAGTGATAAGTAAAATAAGGCAAGTGATTATTAGCCCCGCTTTCAAAAATATCTATAGTAAAATATTTCACTTTTTTTTCTTCCTCTTACGCTGTTTAGAGACACTTTGAAAATGTTGTATACATCCATTAAATCTTATCATTTATCTCATCTTATGTTCAGAGTGACATCTAATTTCTTTCTATCTTCTTTTTTTAATTCAATCACAGTAAAGCGCGAGGTTTTAAAATGTAAATCTGGAGAAAGAGAAGAGATATATTTCTCAACAACAAGGGATAAATAATTATTATTTTCAGTTTAAAAAAAAAAGTAAAGGCTTGCTGTAATTTTCGAGAAAAAAAATTAAATTTAGAGAAAAAAAAAAAAATTCTTTCCTTAATAAGCTCATAAATGCAAATGGTCTTTTCAGGATGTCAAAGTCTGTAGTTGCATTTCAGTAGACACTAGATCAGCACATACGGTATTTTTTTATAACAGTTATTAACTTCTGAATATTTTATTTTATAACCGGCGTTGAACAGCCGACCCAATTCTGAGTTTACACCTACTAATGTTCATATTCGTAACATTTTAATTTTGAACACAATCTAGAAGGCAAGGGAACTCCTGGATAAAGTTTTGCGAGAAATTTGTCTTCGTGGAGGATTTTTGATACACTTAAAATATTCGTGGAAGGACCAGGAAAACCTTCCTCTGTTAGCCTGACGGCAAGGGGACTCTAACCCATGATCCGTCTACCACTGAGGATATTTCAGGTCAGCACTGTGAAAATAATTGAATATTGAATTTTTTATCAAGTCGTACTCCATGTAAATTTATATACACATATTTTTAGTTACAAATTTATGGATTCTAATCGTCTTTCGCACAAATTAAAATTTCTTAAAAATATCATGCTAAGTTCATTATTAAAAATGGCCGTTTGAGTGCATAAAATTAAAATTTATAATTCCTTTCCTGATACCTTATACGCATGATACTTTTTCAACAGTTTATAATTTTGAATAAATAATCGAATGCGTTATTTTTTCTTCCCTCGTAATCCCTGTATACTTTTAGACACACCTATTGTAATTTGAAATTTCTGGGAAAGGAATAACGTTGGTTTCATTTTGATTTTGAAACAGATTAAAATATTTTAAGTTGAGAATATATATGGAACTTAAAGTTGCATTAAGCATAGTTTTAAAAGAAAGTGTCATGAAAATTTTAGAAAATGCCTTTGGCATTTAAATTCAATGGTAAAAATGTAATGAAAACGAAAAATATCGTAGTTCATTTTGATACGACTAAATCGAGGAAAGAAAGGGAAGTAGGGAGAGTCAAGAGACATGGAACCGATTCTATTCTATCCAGATGGCGTAGTCAAGTGCTACGATCGCGAATAAATAATTCATATTGAAATAAACTCGTGCTTCTAAATTAAATATCTGTAAATATTGCTTACAGTTTGTCATAAAGACAATCTATAATGATGTATTTTTTTTTGATTGAAAAAATAGTTCTAGTTTTGCGTATTAATCTTTTGTAAAATTTTCTTGCATTGATTTGTACTGAATGATGTACAATTCAACGCAATACTCAATTAATTATGGCATAAAAAGATACTGGGGCTACGTTAATTACATTTTGTGAAGCGAAATTTCATTTCAATTCCTACTGTCAAAATGAGAACGTAATTTATTAAGTTTTAGCCTATTGTTCTTATAAGTATTACATTGATTGATATATTCTGGTTTTTAAAAACACCAAACTAGTTAAAGTAGAAGTTGCTTTTAGGAATAATCCTGATTCAAATGTTAGTTTTCATTCCCAGTAAATACTCGGTTTTGTTCACTGTAACCGCTAAGAATACAAAGTTTACAGTTTTCACTGCGCAAAATTGGTATCGGTATTCTTTTACGGCTGTCTGCTTCAAATTTTACCAATTAACTTATGGTGTTGCTTAAATTATCTATGTTTTTGTATTCAGATTAAATGAACTATTAATACATATCATAACAAAATGCGAAGTTTTGAATTTTTCTTATATTGACTGTATTTTAAAGCGTTATATTGCCATAACAATGTCAACAAACATCGTCGATATTATTGGTAGTAAAGTTAAAAAGAAACATTTTAAGCCAAAGCATCAAAAAGCTAAGGTGTTTCGTGCAAATGAACCACTTCTTAGCGTTTTCATGTGGGGCGTAAATCATACCGTAAGTAATATTTAATTTATTATTGATTTTAATTTTTAAAAAAAATCCATAACGGGGCGTTCCCGAATGCCGAAAATTGTCTTGTTACCTATTCTTACCATGTAGCTGATTATAATTTTACCATTTTATTAAAACCTTTTTGTTAATTACATAATTACGTTCTTAAATGTACCTTGATTTCATAAAATTTAATAAGATTAGCAATATAAACATTTGACAGCATATTTCGTATGCGTCTCGTGTTATGCCGGTGGTCCTCATGAGTACGAGTTCTTCAATCAAGAAATAATTTGAACAGGAGGGAATTATTTTATCTGTTGCATGAAAATATGATTATGCATGGGATTTGGAATAATTTGTGTGTAATTACAAAATTTGGGACGAAATTCATCATGGGGCCATTTCTTAAAACGCTAAAGTTGTACTATTCATATTTTGTAAGTTGTTTGTAAAAGCCCTTTTTTTAAACAGTAATTTCCCTTATGATTCTCGAAATTTTAATTTCCATAAACATAGTATATTTAAAATTCAAATTTATTTATTGGTATATATTTTGTTGAAAGCTGAACTTTGATTAATGACTTATATTATTTGAGTTACCAGGGGTCTATCCAGACATTTTCTGAAAGGTCCTGTTTTTGTAAAATTGTGAAAAGTATTCATAATTATAAACTATACATAATATTCTATTAATTAATTGAATGAATAAATATAAATTGATCAATTATTTATTTACAAAAAAATAAATAAATTATGATTTAATATTTATTAAGATTGTGCACACGATGTTAGTAAAAGTAGAAGCATTTTCTTAGAATACTACATTTGGAATTTAAACTTAGGGAAACTTAGAAAACTTAGTTTGTCTCAAACCATCTTTCCCCCCCCCCTCTGGGAAGGGTTTATTCGATTAACAAAATGATAATGAAGATAAACAAATTTGTGAAGGTTCGATTAAAATATAATTTATATTGTGAAGGGTCTGTTTTTATGAAAAGATATTTTGTGAAGGGTCTGTTAACGGACCCAAATTTCTTCTAAACAGACCCCTGGTTACCAATGGAATTTTTTTTGTAAAGAATTTCTACTAAGTCCTAAGCTGGTCAAGCACACAATAGTCCTTCCCTCCTCCCGTTGAGTTGGGTCCTGACAATAATCTTGCTAAAGTTTAAGCTTTATGTATTTTACGAAATTCTAAATTTTTTATTGATTATGTAATTATTTTTAATAATTACACTTATTCCCCTAAAAAGTACTTTTGAAGGCCTGATTGAAATTTGACTTCCAGCTGTAGCTAAATATTGTACAAAAAATTTGTTAAATGAAATTTATCAAGTTCTTAGGAATTTTTGAAAATGTAAGTTTTTTTCATTTGTTAAAAAAATTTTATACATTAATCAAGGGACTTTCATAAAACATGAACGATTAATAATCTAATGTAACATTTTTCTGGCAGTTTTTATTGTACTAAGTACATCATTTAATAGTTTAATTTTATAACATTAAATGTTGTAGTAATGAAAATATAAAACTAAACATCTCTTATAAAAAGGAAAAAAAAATTATACTCTCATTGGATCTGGATTAATTATACTTATTTTAAATATTTTTTGTATGCAAAAGAAAAGAAAGTATGAAATTGCTTTATTTTTGGAGTGTAGTATTTCTGTCTTACATTCCTGTATTTAAAATTAACCTGGTCAATTCACTGGTGTAAATTCTTGAATATTAAGTCATGGGATGGTTAGGAGAATATAATTGTAAAATAGAATGCATTGTTAGATAAATGGTTTTAAAGTATCTTTGTTTTCGACAATGTTTAAATGAAAGCTGGTTTGTGATACTTTACTCATGGGTTCTTTTGACTTTTGAGTTCTTTTGTTTTCCCTAGACATTTTATCTTGTTTTCAAAAACGTTATTTATTCCTTTTTTTATCTTTATAACTTAGTATTTTATGCAATTATGTTTTTGATTTAGATTATTATTCTTATTCTTTTATTGTAAAGAAATCCTCTGACATTACCTTGTTAAGTGAGATTTTAAAATGGTATGTAACTTATCATAGCAGCATTTCACGCTCCCATGCAGGAGACCCAGGGTTCTATCCTCTGACATGGCATGGTTAAGTCGGCCTTTCACCCTTTCAGTGGATCAGCAGATGTTTTTCAAGCATGCTTGGGGACTAAACTCTGTAGGTTCCGTCTTTTACTGATCAACCAAAACTTCTGCTCTGTGCCCCAGAGCTCAAGAACATAAAAACTGGGCTGGGCCCAGTAGGCCTCTGCCTTCCATGGGCTACTGTCCCACTGAGTTCAGTTTTTAGTTCAGTTCTAGTTAGTTGTTGTTGTTTCTAGCTTAGTTGTTTCTAAATTTTTCGTATTCTCTGCTAGTTTAATTATTATTTCAATTCCTTTCTCGTAAAATAATCCTTTGGCATGACATTATTAAACTATTATTGAAACTGTTTTATAATAAAACAGTAAATAAGTTAATTTACTTCTATAATTAGGTTAATTTAAAATACTGTGTGATCAATATTTGCAATTAAAATAATAAATGCAAAATTGTAACACACAATTAAGAATTGACTTTTCACATTATTCAATGAATACTTTTTTTGGTTAAAAACAATTGTAAAGTTTTTAATGTAACCAAAATTGTATATAAAGTTGCATTGCTAACTGAGCAAAATGATAAGCAATAAAATTGGGAGGAACTAAATCTGAAATAAAATCTGAGTAAATTCAATAAATTGTTTTGGATCATTCTATTATTCATTTTTAATGCTTTATAATTTTGATTATCAGAGCCTTCTGAATTACAATGAATCTATTGTTACTACTGAAAAAACTTTGTTTAAGTAAATCTTGATTTACAGTGAATAAGAATTATTTTACTAATATTTATGCTTTTGCATCTTATCTTCTATATATAAAAAAAGGAATGTCTGTCTGTGTGTGTGTCCTTTATAGACTCCTAAACCATCCAACCAAAATCGATGAAACATGGCATACAGATAGTTTGAAGCACGAGGAAGGTCACTGTCGACATTAGAACATCTACAACGAACCGTTCGAGCGGGATAACCGAAAAACGAAATGGAATTTTCTGATTGGTTAAACGTTAGCCATTGTTTTAAATTTGACTATAGACTATTCAATTTTTTCACACATTTTTAAGATAACATCAGTGATAATTTCAAGCTTATAGCTCTATTTGATCAAAAAATAGTTTTGCACGTATTTAATTATTTTATNAAAATTGATAATTTTATTTTTATTCTTTTGTTAGCTTGCATTCTGACGGACACTTTCCCTGAAAAAATTTTTTTCGTAAGTTGTAAAACAAACATAAAATATACTGGGGACATGAAAATGACTGTTTTTGTGAGAATGACCCATATATAAAAAAAGGAATGTCTGTCTGTGTGTGTATCCTTTATAGACTCCTAAACCATCCAACCAAAATCGATGAAACATGGCATACAGATAGTTTGAAGCGCGAGGAGGGTCACTGTCGACATTAGAACATCTACAACGAACCGTTCGAGCGGGATAACCGAGAAACGAAATGGAATTTTCTGATTGGTTAAACGTTAGCCATTGTTTTAAATTTAACTATAGACTATTCAATTTTTCACACATTTTAAAGATAACATCAGTGATAATTTCAAGCTTATAGCTCTATTTGATCAAAAAATAGTTTTGCACGTATTTAAATATTTAATTATTTTATATTCGCTATGACAGATAAATTCAATGAACAGCATTACGTGGTTTATAACACCAAATTTATACTTTTAATGTTGTTCCACTAGCTTTTTTTTATTTATTATATTTCTTTTAAAAAGGGTTTCATAAAAATTTATTTATCTAAAGGCAAAATTAATAGGGATGTGATTCTAATTCGTTTAGGGGTAACGTAAAAGATCGCTATATTATTATTGATGTCAATGATGCTTAATTAATTTAGGTAATGTATGCATATTGAAATAAAAGAAATGAGCTATATACTAGAAAGCAAAAGTAATGGAGTAAAGATATTTATTTGTCTCGAAGAACCGTAAAAAAGCGTAATTGACGACAATGATTAATTATTATTGATATTACGAATGTTAATTAATTCATATTGGTAATATGTTAATTGATATAGTACAGAACCCGTTATCCGGAAATCAGAAAACCGGAAAACCAAAAAACCGGAACGAAATTCGGTAACTTTTCCCGCTATTTTTTTCAAAAACAAATTTTTTTTCCTCATAAGATTTTAGGATTTTTCTTTCTTTTTTGAAAGCTGTTTACCCTAGCATCATTTTGGAAATAATCATTAGTGTATTACTTCGTTTTTTCAAGATTATTTCCAAATATTTTTTTTTTAGTTAGGTTTAACAATAAAAAAAACGACTTTTTGTAGCGATTCAGAAAACCGGAAAAATCAGTTATCCGGAATAGCGATGGTCCCGATCATTCCGGATAATCGGTTCCCTACTGTACAAAAAAAAAAACCGTAGTACTAAAAAACAAAAATAACGGATAAAAGATATTTATTTTGGGGAGCCATAGAAGATCGTCTTATTATTATTGACACTAATGCTTTATTAATATTGATAATATGTGTTACTTAAAAAAAGTAAATAATAAAAAAAAAAGCTATGTGCAAAGATAAAGGTTAATGGGAAATTCGTGTAGGAAAACCGTAGAAAATCGCCATTCACGCCCTTAATTATTGTACTCGCCCTTAATTATTGTGTACTACTGACGGTAATATGTACTACTGGCATTATGGTAATTTGTGCAGTTTTGATAAGAATTCTATAACGCATTTTTCATAGTTTTAGAAAATATTTTTTTCAGTCGTAACAAAGATTAATATTTTAATGAATTAGAATTAAAAGACCACTATTCCACCACTACTTATAAATATTTTAACAATAAATCAAAGGTCAGATAGAGAAATGGTCACTCTTTAAAGTCCTTATTAAGTTCTAATAAGAATTCTA